ACTACACTGATTACAATCTGGATGGTCATTTTTCTCTGTGGGGCATGACGTCCATGACAAAAAGATTTGGAATGTGGACGCGTCAGATGAAAGCAGACTTTTCAACTCTGCATCAGTCGATCTCAGATGAGTTTGGCCAAAAACATTCAACCCTGTTTCTGGGTATTGTTAATGAATGGCTTTCACTGTGAATCATAGAGATTCACGGCCTCTACACGTTGTCAACTATACTTCCTTAAAGTAGTAATCGTGAATGAGTTTAAATCCAACCCTTCACAGTAATGGACAGGGCACAAATGAGGTGCACAAAAGGGTGGAATGGTTGGAGACAAGTGTCAGGGATCATCTGTGCAGCAAAGTTGAAATGGAAGCTTTAGTAGAGACAGTAGTGAGACCTGCTATGATATACAATTTAGATACAGTATCTCTGTCTAACAGACAAAAGGCTGAGTTGGGGCAGAGATGAAGATGCTCACAGATTTGTAGTCAAAGAGGCGAAGGAGATGGTTGGTGTAAAGGCAGAAGAGGCGGGTGATAGGGTCAGATTCAGTCAGATGATCCACAGTGGGGGAGCAACCAAATTCTTAACCCGTGAAAAGACATGCATCCTAAATAACCCTTTTATTTTTACAAACACTTACTAAAAATAGATGCTGATCAAAATAATAGTTAAATCCACAACGATTACATGCATTTCTATTTATTTTATATATATATATATAATGTTGCTTTGTTTATGGGCACTGGAGGACATGACATCTGCAGCAGCTGTGGGGCAAGGCGCTGATTTTAGAAGTCTTGGAAATTCCTAAACATGGCAAGGACACTACTGGGGTGAATTATTTTTGTTTCAATTTGAAAATTGAAGTGGTTCCTTAAAAACCTTTTCTATGAACCAGCGCGTCACAGTCATGTCAAACATGTATGACTAATAAATCCACCAGTTTTCTTTTTTTTCTAATGCTGATTTAAAACAACAACAAAAAAATAAAATGAAATGAAAACACCTCGCTGATGCAGATGAAGCCATACGGTCAGTTCTTGGTTTGAAAATATAAGTTAAAGATTGAAAAAAAAAAAAGTTCGTACAGAGTTTCCAAGTTCTAAACATTTAATTGGACTGTGTGAACCAAAGAGAAGGGAAGAACGCCTGAGGGCAGTGAGGAAACGACGCTGACATGAAAGAGTCTGTTGTTGTCCGAGGAGAGAGGAAGATAAAAGGCAACGAGTTAGAAAGATGGATGTGATACTGCGGCGAAGACAGTGATGAATATGTTCATTTATGACTTTTCTCATGTTGGACTTTTACATTTTTCTTTTTCAGAGTTGTGAATGAAAACGAGTGAATTCAAATTCTTCCGAGGTCTATCAGTCATGGAACATTTCTAATTCTGATTATGATGATGAATCAGCCCATTTACTTGAATGGATGTAAATGTTAAATGTTTTGTTATCTTTACACCATTTACTAAAGATGAATAAATTCATATATTAGGCTTTTTAAACATTTGCTGTTGTACATATTATTTTTGTCAACATTCAAACCTGTTTCAAGGAAGCCTTCACCTCTATATTTAGGCTTCAGTAGGAAAAACACAGGTACATTCCAAGTACTGGTAACACTTGGTGTTAAATAAGGTGAGTTTGAACCATCCTCCTGCATCACACTCTCTTCTTCATCTGGAGTTTTATCATAAATGTTCAAATATCTGCCTCACCTTCTACATTTCCTGAAGGAAAACAAAACCAATTATCACCATTTGTAAAAGTTACAGAACAAGAAGAACAAGAGAAAATCGAGCCCATGTGCTGTTGGTTTATTAAGACATGATTCAAATGCTTTTTGGTGTCAGTACTTTGGCAGCCGGGCTCAAAATAAATGGAGCTGCTTGTTCTGACTTAGATATGTAAAGGCATTATTCTGACCTACTACAAATGTAGCAGGAATACATCAGTTCTTGTTGTTAAATGCATTTCAGTAACAGTAATGACAGAGAATAATTTAATCAGCTGTTATTGACTTGAAAGGATGTAAAAATAAAACAAAATTCCCTCACAGGCAAAGATATTATTAGACTTTATGCTTAAAAACAGAATAGATGAAAAACATTAGAAGCAAAGCAAAAAAATTATCGTTATTTAGATCATATAAGTTAATACAAACTTTTTCCTCTTTGACACATTTTTAAGATTTTAAAAGTCTGGACCAAACTCAACTGTAATCATCTTTACCCAGACATTCAGAACTTTATACCCTAATCCTGCTTCATGTCAAACATAGCGTCACTGACTAGCACAGACCCTGGCTGAGAAGGCTACACATTTACTGCAGTGGCAAAAACTCAGTGTAACCCAGTCTGTGGTCTAGCAAATCGTCACAGATGTACAATCCAACTAGAGATGTGCGATAATATCAGTCGGCCGATGAAAGCAAAATTATGTAATATCTGTAATAATCATTATTGTTTTTTTCTCTGATAATGCAATGCATGGGTTTCACCAAATAATGTGTGTTCTAAAAATAGTTTGGGGGAAAAACAGCTGTATACGAAAGTGAAAGTCACTAGATGGCAGCATTGCAGCTCATTTTATTAATCTAATTTAATAATCAGCGGATTGTTTGCAGAATACTGCAACTATTACAGTGGTCTGTACAGATAAAGACATACATTTTACCAGGCCTCGGTATTGGTTCATATTGGTATCGGAAATTAACTGTCTGGACAATATCGGCATATTGGGTATCTACAAAAGGTTAATATCGGACATCCCTAATTTAAATGTATGTTTTTTAAAGCATTCGTCTGTATCTTTGTCATCGGTTTAACACAATGTTCATATTTTACACAGGCAGACAGACGTATCCAGAAGATCGCTGCCCTGTGGTGCTTCCCAGCCCAGTTCTGTCAGGCCTCCTCTGCTGATCTGCAGACAATGATCCTCTTTCTCATCAGTGAGCTGCTTCACAGCTCCACAACACAAAACGGCTCATTATGGAATCAAAGATCCCCCAGCCAGAACTCGCAGTGTCTACTACTGTCCCCTGCTGAGCACACGCGCTGTCAACAGCCCTGGTCACGTAGCCCCAGGCCGCAACAAAATCAAGCAGGCCAGAGAGGGCATTCAGGTAGAGGGGGAGTCAGACTGATGTCCACAGTTACACACATGGACATAAAGGCACAGCAGTTTATGAGGCGAAGTGACTTCCAGCCATTAGCTGCTGTGGAAGAGATCAGAGAGGTCATCCCACTCCTCTACCTCTTGGACATGGACAACAGCAGGATGACATGGTCCACTTTATTAACCAGAGAAGACAGCAGCAGGTCAGACGACACATACCAGTGGAAATGTCATTTACTGATTTGGTTGAAGGAGAGAATCTCGATGGTGGGTTTTTTTCTTTTCACCTTGACAAAACCACAGCACACTTCTTTAACATTGTTTTTAGAAGATGGAAAAAGACAACCAAACCAATGATCACATGTTGTTTGATAGAATTGAAAATCTTTGTACTTACTTTAATAATAAAGATGACTGAAATCATGTTTAAACGCAGACTTTCTATCATTTAATTGTCTTTTTAAAAGCAATCAATAATAATCTGCCATCTTTGACAGTGGTCAACAAACCACAAACTGGTTTGATCCAGTTCTTCTTTTTCAGTGTAACAAATGTCTTTGCAAATGCCCAAATGTAGTTTGTAATCAAGAATCATTGGTCAATGTTCCCTAAATCCCTAAATCAAGGGTTATATTAAGTGGTTTTATATTTATAAGTATAGTTTTATTAAACCTCATAAAGCGCTGCATTAATTGACATAATTTTAGCTAATGTATTTTTCAATCTTTGCATGTACGAACATCATATTTGTACTTGTAGATACAATACACCACCAGGTACAGTTTTTCAGTTGTTAGTTCTTGAATATACCATTGAACGAATGAAGTACTAAGAAGTATTTGTATAGATATTTTTACTACTTGTAAAAGAATAAAAGTGTACATACTGCTTATTACTGCAGTACTTCATGCACACTGGATTTGGAATTCTAAAGTAGGGCAGGTCTTTACATAAATATGTTTTGTTTTTAAAACTTAATTCAAATGAATTCCTCTTTTCTGTAAAAAAACAAAACAAATACACGCTAAACATATTTGTACAATTAGATGAATAACTCACTGGAAGAAAAGGCATTGCATAAACAAAGTTGAGCTAAGGCTACATTAGCATAGCGATGTTCAAACCTAACCTGGAGTTAAGATTATGCTGAAGGCGTCAGGTTCTTCTTCTGACTAATGTTTTGTCAACCATGTCACCTGAGCACAGCCTGACAGGCAGCAGGTGAGTGACGACTGACTGCCACATGTTCACCCTGAGGTCGCTGCGTTCCCACGCCGCTGACACGAACCCTAACAGAACTGTTCTAACTTGGCTTCTGCTTCTTTACCTGCTCAACAACATCACACTGGAACGCTCTTGATAAACAACACTAACGGACTATGAATACCCTGAAGGCCATATGTTAAATATTCCACTGAACTGCCAACACTAGTCTCTCCTTATATTCCCTCTGCAGACCACACTATTCCTCTGTCGTGTTTACAGCAACCGAAAACACATTCTTAAACTCACGACTTTCAGTTTGGTTGACATCATATCAAACTAAGGGAACATTCTTTAAGCTAATAAGTAATCAACATGTACAATAACATTATAATAAAACAAAAACATTCAAAACATTTGACAGGTAAACTCAATTGCATTGCTTACACAAGCAAAAACCAAAAATTGGTCCACCCTTGTGTTAAGAATAAATGTTAAAATGCAGTATATAAACGCATTAGAGGTGTTCTCACGTGATTCAAGATGGAATTTGTCCCATAAATGTAGTAGCGTATTTTTCTAAAGACACATATTTTACCCGTGTAGTATTTTAATCCATTTTAAAAGCACAGTTCACCACACAAACAGCATTGGCGCCCCCAAGAGGGGACGAACGATGGTAACCAACCAAAAATTGTTATTCACCCCCCGGGCTACTCCTCTGGCCGAACCTGAGGACGAGGTTTGTGTGATGGTAAAGGTATTATCCCCTGGTTAGTCATGGTTGTAAATACAGTATTCACCTGATGGCAGGGTGACGTTAGACAAAGAGGGGTTATTTGTAAGTTATTTAAACTTGCCACTAGAGGGTAGCAGTGGTCTTGTTTTGTTTTGCCATCATGAGTTCAAATATAGTAATGATCAGTAATACTGCTCTAACCTAATGACGGTTTTCCCCCCTTGCCCTTCAATCAAGTCTGGTTATTATGTTATCAAGTCCATATCAAGACCTAAGGCGAAACTGTTATGTCGCTGAAAACGAAGAACAGTTGAAGCAGTTTTTCTGCTTACATTTCTGATACAAATGGTTCAATAGGGTTTAAAATTAAACCGTGTTATGTTTTGTAACGTTGGGAAACAGACAGGACCCGAACACAGCACTCGAGAGACGTAGATCAGGTGCAGAAGGTTTATTCCAAGCTCAAAATTACAGAAACCTACTGGATAACAGGACCAGACAGGAATAAAAAAACGAACTGGGATCAACCAGGAACGAGAACTAAGAACAAAACACGATGCACGGACAGAGAACAACAAGCCAAAAATAACAGCGAGAGGGGGAGAGGTATATATACCCAAGACACCAGGTGATACGAGTGACACAAATGAACATCAGAACACAGGTGAGTGTGATGACACTGACGCACAGCAGACGGGTGGGGCTGGTCTAATATGTCCACCAGAAAAATGGACAAATATGTACGTGTGTTTATAAATAATGTTTATCTGTCCTTGAATTAGCAGTTTCCCGTTTACTCTTTATTTTGAAATGTATACATTTTTTTAGCTGTGAACCTTAGCTCTTTCACCCTAAAGTTAAATATATAGACTTGACACACAAACACCTACAAGTTTGATGGGTTAAAAAAAAATACAAACAAATTTACAGATTTAATGGAGTTTTGAGGAGTTTTTATTTGGTACTTTTCTTACATAAAACAATGCACTGTGGCAAAGTGTTTCATTTATTAATACAAGAGAAAATAATGTTTGTTTAATTTGAATATATTGAATGCATGTGTGAATATAACCTCTTTGCCTCTTTAAAACACTGATGGTTCAGCTTTAAAATATGTTACATTACAGAACGCAAAGTGGAAGACAGGAGTTTAAAAAGAAGGATTTTTTTTTCTTTTATTTTTCAGCAGATAAAATGGAGGTGTTAGAGTACAGGTATCATGCGTGCCCCCAAATAAACAAAGAGCAGACTGTATTTACAAAAATAACACAAAGGTTTGACAAGTGGCAGCTCATACAAATGTCATACTGATTAAAAAAGAACAAGCCACCTCAAGAGACGCTAATCTGAGAGGAATATCTGCTTACTAAAGTCGACGAGCGTTGCATTTCAAATATGATGTTTTTAATGGAAAATGTACAACACCTGAAACCAGAGCCAGTCCAGAGGTTTAATTACTGTGACAGAGCTCACTTTCTCCCAGCAGACACACAGCTAAGATTGTGTCCTCCATCTTTTATTTTTGCTCCGACACCTTAGTTCTACGCACACAAAGATAGAGAACAAACAGGGGTTCTAAGCCATTAGCAGTGATCAAACCCCTGACTCCCTGCTGATGAATAAGGGTAGGGTTGGCTGGAGTCTGTCAAGACTCATCTTATTATCCGTGTCCAGAACACAGAGCATCTCCACTGTCTGCTCTTCCACTAGTGTCTCCTTGAACCCTAGCTGAATGTTATCTTGCATTATAATGTCTCCGTCGCTCCTCGTGTTCAGGTTTCCTGCCTCCTGCTTCAAGTCCTCCTCATCTTCATCGTCCCCACAGTGCAATGCGACCTCGTTCTCATAACAGAAAGCGCTGGGAGAGTGGGAACCCATTAGGTTACGTGCTGCCCTTGGAGCAAACAGTGACGGAGACCTGGAGTCACTGGAGCTGGAGGTTGAGGAGCGCCTGCTGTGGCCTTTCATTCTGCTCAGATCCCTGGCACTACACTGGGGTGTGAATGGCACTTCATAGGTTTTATGGAAGCGGGAGTAGTCCACAATGTAGCGGTCACCCTTCTCAAAGACCACTGGCTCAAAGCGATGGCCCCATAGAATTTCCTTGGCTAAGTAGGAGGTGCGTGCCTGTGTGGTCATCGCTGTGGCCTCCACCATTCCTTCAAGAATGACCACAATCTCAAAGTCCTGTTTCTGCAGCTCGGTGCAGCTCAGGTCATACAGAGGACTGTGCTTGTTGATCTTGTGCACCACAACCAACGGCGAGACTAGAAAAAGACGATCTGTCCCATCGTCATAGCCCACGTCGATGTCGGACTGCTCCAGAGGAAGGTACTCACCCTCCATCGTCACGTGTGGCCTGATAAGCTGGGCGCGGACGTGTGCTTCAACGATGTGGCTCTTACGCATGTTTCCCAGACGCCACATGAGACACAGTTTACCGTCTCGCAGGGCAATGACAGCACTGTGTGAGAAGAGCAAGGTCTGTGCCCTCTTCTTGGGTCGAACCATCTTTGCCATGATTGTGCCGATCATAAAGGAGTCTATGATACAACCGACGATGGACTGCACCACCACAGTCACCACAGCGAGTGGACACTCTTCTGTGACACAGCGGAACCCATATCCAATGGTGGTCTGTGTCTCAATGGAGAAGAGAAATGCTCCAATGAATCCCTGGATATGAAGAATGCAGGGCCGCCATTCATCTTTTTCTTCCTCTACGGAATTCTGAGAGTCCTCACCTCCTACAGGTGTGTGGAGGTCAAAGTCTCCATGGGCAAGTGCCACACCCCAGAAGACCAGGCCAAACAGAAGCCAAGAAACGATGAAGGTGGTGGTGAAGATAAACAATAAATAACGCCAACGTATGTCCACACAGGTGGTGAAAATGTCTGCAAAGTATCTACGTGGCTTGTCCTCCATATTGCTGAAAACCACATTGCACTGGCCATTCTTCTTCACAAAGCGGCTTCGCAGCCGACTGCTGTCGAGGTTGAGGTCTGCGGGGCACGAAGATGAAGCGTGGCAGCTGCTGTTGGCGACTGGTTCGTTGGTTATCTTGAGAGACAGAGCTCCTCTTCTTTCAGGGCACTCAAATCCTTCCACTCCTGCATTTCCTGGTTCCTCACCTTGCGTACAGGAGCCCAAAAGTGTCTGCTGATTCAGGGGACTGTGTCCATTGTGGAGGCCCAAAGTAGAGATCTTAAGAGCATCTTCATCCGTAGCTACGATGCTATATCTGAAGAAATTAAGAGACAGTGGATTAAGATCAACCAACAGTGCCACAAAACTGATAGTGAAAATTCAGACTAAATTACAGCTGGATATGTGACACATTTATAACTAGGCTGGATCAACATACAGGAGGTCCTCAACCTACGACATTTCATAGTTATGTCTCCATCACCCATAAACTTATTAAGAAGTCTTGTTCGAAGTACGGCGTTCAAACTACTAGTGGCTGAGTGTAGCAGACAAATTCTTTCTTTTGTTTGTGTTGTTTTTCCGGGAACTTTTTACCCTTCATTACGGCTCCCAAGTGTAAGTCAGACTCATGATTTTATGTCCTAGCTTATGATGTCACCACTGTGTTAGCGTAGGTGACTGACATAGGTACTGATGTACAGTATGTGAGATTAGACTTACGGTAAAATCAAGCTACGCCATAGGAATTGAACTCCTACGTAAGTCGATGCCTGTATTTCTAAATTTGGTAATAATTCTAAGAATCACAGAGCGTGTTTCCAGGAGCAGTGCTGTATATGCACTAATTAAGCTAATGATTTTCCATCTCGTCTCACCTGTTCACTCGCACTGCTCCCATGGCACTGGTGATCATCAGGCTGTGTCTGCGAGGGGAGTAGTGCAGGTTTGGGCGAGCAGTTCCAACCATTAAAATTTGTTGCTGTACAGTTTAGACATAGGAGCTCAGGTCTGTCTCGCATCGATAATCAACACTGTGGTCCTCTTCCTCTGTTGATAGAAAAAGGACAAAAGACAGGTTATGTTAATGATTTGTCATGTTAAAATACAAATAAAATAACATTTGGAACTTCCTTCCAATAGAAGTTCCCAAACATACATACACTCCCTGCCATCATAGAAGAATACCAGACAATATGGAATTCACACACTAAAAGTACTAAAAGTAGAAAGTCTAAATGCAGACCATCTCACCAAAAACATATTCATATTTTGTTGTAATTTTGCTGTAATGTTTTCTATATTGTAGATCGTAATTTTTTGTATTTTATTAAACATCATTTAATGTTAAATGTAACATTTGAGAAGTTCTATGACAGTACTCCATTTAGCTGGAAACTTGAGAATACAGTTCAAAACCAATGGTTATAAAATAAAACAAAAACAAATTAAATTTTTTTTTTGCATTTTCTCTCCTCAGACAACCACTCCTTCAGAGCTTTGACTGAGTAGTACACGAATATTTATAGAGTGAGGAAGGGTAAATAATGAAGTGGAACAATGACAGGAACTGACGATTTTCTAAAGTTATACAGTCTGTCTTCACTTCTGCTTTTATTTTCACACTTTCATGTCGTCCTGTTTCCCTCTGAACACCTTAAGTCCATCTCAGATGCCAATGCGTTTGACTGGACACTGGGAGCTAATTTACCTCATGACATCAGTTCAGATACAGTTGGAAAAAAACATGTTTTGAGTTACTACTCCAGGAACAAGTACTCTCTGTATTGTGACAGCTGTGACAGCTTTCTGAAAGACAACGGCAGCCTCTGTTTTTGTAACACCTGCACTTCATTTCAGATTACCAACCAAAGAACAACTAAAACTCACACCTGCAGCTTGACCTCAGCAGCTATTTTCTCCTATCCGTGCCTCATGAAGTGGGCATGCTGTTCAAAACAGAATTCAAACATGTCCCAGCAAGCCTAATTACAGTCCAAACTATTCTGTTTGGTAAAATGGAACTTGTTTTGTCTCTTTGTTCTTACAAAATAAAGAAACACATTTTGATAACCAAATGCTGGCTAAAACTGCAACTGAATTTCAAACTACCACAAGGTTTAAAGCAGCGATCTCCAACCTTTTTTTGTTCAATGGACTGGTCAGCCGGTACTGGCCGGTACCACAGACCGGTAGTGTCGCCCCGTTTGTTTAATAATGGTTACAGGATTTAAAAAAGGATAAAAGTCCAAAATTCAGAATTTGCCGTAATTAACAAAGGAGACTAGAGAATTTGTGCAGTGAAATCTTATTGATTCGATCGTTGCTAGTGGGTCGCCTCAGGGTAGCTACGGCTCAGCCAGTGATGGAAATCCAAACAGGCCTGGGAAGGGACGAAGCTCTGAAAAAGAGATGAATCTAAAGTGGTAATCTAATGTCAAAGGAACAATTGATCAACTGTTTGGCCTGATGACAAGGTTGGAGGCTGATTTCACTCCAGCTCATGATGTCAGCAAAGGTACTGGCTGATACCAGAAACACTGATTGCATAACCAACAACAGGCGATCAAAAGCAAAGGGCATCTGGGTTCATGTGTGAAAATAATCAAATACCTTTACCTTTGTTCAGACAAACATCAATAAAATCAATTTGTAGATGTTCATGGGAAAAAAAGTTCAAGTTTTAATTTTGATGTTGCCTCAGTCACACACAAAAGGAAATGATATATAGAAGAACACACACACATAAACACACCCATGCACACTCTGATGGGATTTATTTGATTATTGTGTGTGTGTGTGTGTGTGTGTGAGAGAGAGAGAGGGAGAGAGAGAGAGAGAGAGGGAGATGCTGGACCTTCTTCTCTCTCTATCACACCACGCACAGATGTTTGAAACCAGCTCTTGATTGGCTGGATGAAGGGGGATTACAAAGATCTAATCCCAAAGGGTTGGTGATTACATCAGAATTATAACTCCCACAGATGGAGGAGAGCAACGAGCTGTGGGTTTACAACCATTCTTTTGGCAAAGATCCTGGAGATACCAGTCAATATTATGGTTCATGCAGTTCAGCCCTGAGTGTGTGCCGGAGACGTGTGTGTGGGATCAGGACAGTACAACCTCACGTTTCTTTTCACTCTTTTCTTGGAAGATACGCAAAGACTTTACAAAGACAGTGGCTGGTTGTTTTTTTGTTTGTTTGTTTGTTTTGTTTTTTTGGAAACAAGTTAATTTAGAACAAAGTGAATGGTTTTATTTCTGTCCAAATTTTACTAGCAACGAAGCGACCCACAGTCACCCTAGAGACTACTATTAGAAAGCCATGATTTGAAATACACATGTTGAACAACATGGTCTAACTCTGTCTGGTGATCACCACAGGACCACACGTTGTCATATCCTCCTGGCGTCTCCATCAGAACAACATAGACCAGGCTGCTGGAACTGTGTCTCAGTGGATCCACAGTCTGTGCCTGATGCAATCCAACATTCCCCTACCAACCATCGACAGCCACTGTTCCTGCACCAAATCGGATTATCCCAGTCTGATTACGGTGCTTCCATCGTACCACAACATCTCATCAACCCATGGCATTTATCTGAAGCCACACAGGAATCCTACAAGTAGCTGACAGTATTGACCTCTACTCTTTCTCTCTCTCTCTCTCTCTCTCTCTCTTGGTAGCACAGCAATAGCAAAAAGTCTGCAGTTTTCTGACTGTGATCTGATTACTACATACTACTCTGATTGTTACATACCAAGACCTCTGTCACGCGGTCGGTCGATTAGGTTATTAGGAGCCTGCGAGCTGAGCGTGTTAAAAATGCAGTGGTAAAAAATATATTGTGTTCCTTTTAATGAACGGAATTCATGTTGGAGCTTAAAATAATTATTTTCAACAGTTTTAACTGTTGTGTATTTTATATTCAACATACATAAAACCATAAACACTGTGTATGTCCTTATGCAGCCAAGACCAGACCAAGATCAGTTTACTGAATACCTGCCACGTGTCTTCCTCTCTGGAGACAGAAGCCCTGAAAGAGAAACGCAGTAATTAAGTTACAGTGTTGTTGTCTCTATGGGATCATCTCTCTTCGCTCTGTATGTGTGTGTGTGTGTGTGTGTGTGAGCGTGTGTGTGTTTTATTCTGACACTTAGGTCAGAATAAAAAATGAAGTTCCCTATTTGGAAATTGATGTGATGTAACATTTATTTCACTCAACCTCCTTTATTTTATGAACTAGAGTTGATGACAGCATGATGACATTGTCAACGTCAGGAACAATAAATGGAACAATAAATACTGGTTTTAAAGTGAACAACAAGTTCAGGCATTTTATTATAACTAGAGACAATTGCAAACGACATTTAATCTTCAATAATGACAAAGGAAGAGAGAACGTGTGTGTTTGTGTGAATGCATATGTAAATATTCTCTCATTTTTTCTTCCTTCTTTCTTTCTTTCTTTCTTTCTTTCTTTCTTTCTCTCTTTCTTTCTTTGTTTCTTTGTTTGTTTCTTTCTTTCTTTCTTTCTTCTGTCTCCCTACGCCTCTAATGACATCATAGATTACACAAAAGGGCTTAAGCAAAGTCACACAAACAACCAGCATCCACCTTTCATACCCCTGTTTGGATTGGGAGATTAAAAGACATTGTAATCTGGAATGACCTGGACTTCCTCCTCCATTTACTTTGCATAGGATTACGATTTTGTACACGTCAGTTTGGTTTTTCTGACGTACATAAATCTCATTAACATTTCACTTGCGTAAAAGTTGCACAGAGGCGTAGTTATGGAATACTTTGTGTTCCGTCTCTGCCTTGGTTCTAGCACCTCTTTCTCCTCCTGACTCTCTCTCTCTCTCTCCCTCTCTCTCTCTCTCTCAAACACACACACACCAAAATGCATGAGAAACCGTTTGCTTTTTCTCTTCTCTTCCTATTATTGGTGCATTTTTGCAAAGTCAAATGCATATGATATATCTTTTAATTGTTCTTTAGATAGAAAACTTTTTTAAATTTTGAACTAAGTTTTGCAAGAACTAAAAAGCAGAAATATGCACATACTACATTTCTGAAGCTCATAAAAAGTGTTTTAGAACATGATTTCAGCATTAAATGAATGGTATCTTTTGGTGTTTTAAAGCCATAATACTATTTTTACCTAAAGGAAAGTTAAGAAAATGAATTTGAAGACACTAACATGTTTATTATCTGTTATTTTGCCAAATATCTGAGTATTTATACAAATGTCGATTTTTTTAAAAATTGGTATCACTGTAATATAAAGACATATATTGATCATTGCAGGGAATCCGATAAGTCATGCAGAAGCGATGATGAGTCGGTTTGTCAACTTTGGTAACAACTGTGACGTGTGTTGGTTTTTATTAAGGCCACAGGAGCTGTCCAGTGCTGAAAATCAATCAGGCCTGCAGGAACAGCAGGCAGCACAGAGGACAACAAGAACAGAGCACTGAACTTTTCTGACCTTAAAAAGTTGTATCAACTCTCTCTCTCAAATATGCATTGCAAACATTTTTACTTTTGCCTTACACAGCCTTTTGTAAGTCACATTTTCTTTTATTGCAGTTTTTAAATCAAAGTCAGGAGATCGAGGTTATGAAAAATATATTTGTACTTTTTATAGATAACAAATATGTTATCTGTCACCTAACGTGGAAAGAAAAAAGTTCATAGGGACTCACCTCTGTATCACTGCAGGCTGGGTACTGTGCAGATTAAAAGTGATTTCATCCTCATCAAGATCCCCATTAAAAGTCAGTTGAGGACATGTACAGGTGGTATCATCTCCCTCTTGTATCTTTGTTAGAAAAAAAGCACTATTTCATCAATCTGCACTCACATTTTTTGTTAGATGTGTGTCCACATTCTTTCTTTTGATTCCATTCCTCCATTCTAGTTGAACGAAGCCGCTGGTGCTTCCCAGTTTGCATCTTCACTGTCCTGATCCCTGACTATGTGTGTGTGATAGAGAGAGAGAGAAAGAGAGAGAGAGCATTAGCATGCATGTGTAGGACGAGAGAGAGAGAGCGAGAGAGAGAGAGTGGGAGAGAGAAAGAGAGAGAGCTCTGATTATGTTCATATTTATACCTTCCATTGTTTTTGTTCCCCAGAGTGTGAGGCTATGGCTGTGTAATTTTAGTCCTCTCAGATGCTAACTTACGTAGACATCTACAGACAACAAATTTACAAAATTTCTGCAGACACTTCAGATTGTAGCTGGGATGTTTAGGAGTGTGTTATTGCCTACTGTGTTTATGTTTTGGGGTTCTTACGTATCCCCATAAACTGCAGATACTGTTCAGACAGATCTCATGTAATCTATAATGAGTGAGTCATGCAGGAGAAGAACAAATGTACTGCACTGTTCCTGAAGGTCTGTACAAACAAAGTGGGGATGATTCTAAAGTCCTACAGCTGCTGAAGGGCATTAGAGTTTGAGGGTGAGCCCAAAAATATCCAAGAACCGCTGTGAAATGAGCAGAAGTCACCTTTACCTCCTGCTTTCATTTCCCATTAGAGATCATTTAACATTTACAGCCACGTCCCTTGTATTAGATTGTCTCTACATCCAAAACTTTGGACTACAAGTGAGAATGGATTCACAGACTGTCAGACAGTTTACTATCATGCAAACAGAACAAATATTAGAGCAACATTATCAATGGTCTCAAAATAGAAGAGCAATAGAACAGTCAGGGGATGAAAACAGGAAAGGTCTGGTAGTGGGGCTAAAGTGTTGTTTAGCTCTGCTGCTAACCACCACCTAATGGTTGGAGAAGGATTATTCTAGGGATAAATCCAAAACATTGTGTCCCAACCATTTGCAGTTTCCAAATCTTATTCTTTTAATATTTTTAACCAAATATTTGTGCACCTTTGTTCATATAGCAGTACTGTAACTGGGAGTTTAAAACAGTGTCAATAAACTGAAAGTTTATTTTTTCCAGAGAATTTTGAAGCATTACTACCGTTAGACAAAACTCTTTTAGTTTCCATGGTAACCCAGTTTTCTTGTCTTTCTCCTGCACATAAATAATACACCTTGCGTAACATAGTTATTTATACAACTCAATTTATTTATTTTTTGTTTCATGAGACACCACGTGGGTGTTGTAACATGTGGGTGGGAGGATTGGGTGCAGTGATGTTAGAGAGATTGATGTGGCCACAAGCCAGGGGTCAGAGGATTACGTGAGTGGGTGCACAAAGTAAAGAGTGAGTTGTGAGTAAATTGTATATAAAGTCATGCATAGAAAGTTTTACAATACAACAAACAAGGAGGCACTTCTACGGCACGTAGAAAAGGGTAAGAGTTGTAACCAGAGAACCTCTGTGTTTGTCTGAACCTGAAAGATCAGTGGATTCTGTTTCCTACTTATTATGTGCATTTTTTTCAACTCTGCCCTTTCTGGTTCCAAAGTACTTACACCTGTCAATTTCACTACCTTACCTTGTAGCATCCACACCTTCTCCTTCATCATTATAATATACCTAAAGCTGGCTCTCGGCCTAGGACACATCATCGTCCAGGTCGTCATCTGCCAAATATTATATATATAATATAGGAAAAATAAATATACTGTACATATATATATATACCTATATAGCAACTTTTGCACTTTTTGTGTTGTTTGAAAATTACATATTTTTGCACAAAACTGAACACTGACCTTTCATTCATTTCATTTATTCATTTTATATTGCTGTAATGTTCTTTATTTTTGTTTACATTATTTTTCTTATTATAGTGTTTTTTAATTCAATCTTCAAGGTATTTTATATGGTTGTATCCATAACTTCTGTACCAGGAGATGGAGCAACACCAAACCACAATGTCTTGAAAGGCACTTCTGTATTTACTGACATGTTTTCTGTGTTAATTTAACCAAGTCCTCCTTATGAGTGTTTCTTGCAATATGGAAAATCAATACAGCCTTAAATTAGCCTGTGGATACATGACTAATTAGCCTCACAGCTTTAAAACCCCTGAACTCCTTCACTGCACTTTATGCTTTGACTTAAAACCTGAAGGACTTTGACGAAGCCTTAGGACTTGACCACGTAGTCAGTAAATGTGTTAATCTGTTAGTTAAACCTATATGAAATGTAGCACTGCATCTGTACATTTCCATGGATACCTACTCAACTCATTATAACAGCAGCAGCTTGAATGAAGCCAGAAAGAGGCAGGACACAGACACACAGCAGTGGACAGAAATATCTATCCCTGATTGCTGTGTTGCTGCCAGACATGTTTAATTAGACTCCTGTATCTGGAGGGTGTTAAATATAATGTAGCCTGAGAAAACTGCAATTAATCATCACAACAACTTTAGACAGGCTCTGAGTTTAGACATTTTCCTGCATGTACACACTTGCATTAGTACACACATGCACATGCCCACAGGCTTATGTAGTCGTGACATATTTTATTAATTTATTCTGTGTCTGTGTGTTTAAATGAAAACACAAAGACAGGAAAAGGCAATCAAATGTCCATGTGTAATAAACCTGAGTTTCTCAACAGGGGGAATTTAATAAGAATCAATCCAACGTTCTCCACATCTATTGTAGATTTAAAAAATCCCATGTGGATATAATTAGTCAACACAGAGGACTGTAAGCCATGTTTGTTGTATGTTTATTGATCAAAATAAATAATCAAATCTATAAACTGTTTTATTGATTGAGGCCATGTTCCCCTGCCTTCATAGAGTTCTTAGGAAAGAAATCATACAAGATCCTCCACAGCAAAAGATTCTGTACCTCAGGTTCACCTGAGCCAACCCTAAAAATAATCCCTTGCCCCCTTTACGCTCGTTTTTCTGAGCAAACTGCTCTGAGTAAACTGCTGTGTTAGGTTGTGTGGTGTGTAACGGTACCTGGTCATGAAATACTGTATATGAGGAGGAAGATGAGCACACAGCACGTCAACATGGAAGCCCAAGACCGGACCTAAAGTACAGATAGACTGACCAACTTTGGGCAGTAGTGTACACTATCTGGATTCTATTTTTATTAAGATTAGAAAGGGCTGCCCAAACAACAGCAGGGGTTTAATACTGTAGGGTAAACACTGGGATCACACTGTAGTGAAGTGCTCTTTTAAGAACATGGTATCAAGTAGTACGACAGTATGTAATAAAATAAGTTTCACACTGACACACTGTGATTGTTCATAGTAATAGAAAAAAAAAATCCCCCACTGAAACCACAGAGGAGACACGAGCAGATCAGTACAACAAGGTGGCATTTGATTCTGTATCATGAATTAATGAAAACTCATCACCATACAGGGGGAATGAGTGGTAACCTGATACACCCGTACAATGCATGCAAACCCGCTGCCTTACAATACACTGACCCACTTAAGACATAAGTCAAAGAAGAGTTTTGTTAAGGTAGAATCATTTCACAATCTAACTGTAATATAGATGGAAATAGAAAAGACATCATTCTGGATACTTTTAACTAGAAAACAAAATACACGCCCCTGCAACAGGTACCATTCTTACCTTTTTATGTAAATTAAACATATAATTAACCAAGGCAGAGATGATAAGGTAGTGAAGTGGGCGGTTCCAGGAATGCGAAAGCACCAGAGCAATGAAATAATGATGAGTGTGAGCAGAGACTAGCTTGAGTTACGTCCTGTGCAGTTCAGATGTTTTAGCTCACCTGAGCGAAAGAAGAAAGACAGGACACGTCTTACTGCAAGTCTTGACAACAGAGAAGGATAAAGAAGAAACAACGGAGTAAGTGACACTACTGTAGATCTTTGTTTCTTGTTGTTATTGTCTACATTTAAGGTTTGTTCTCTGAGGGATAACTAGTTCAACTCATTGGAGGAGTTGCTGTGTTTTGGAGTGATAATTAATAATTAAACCCATCAGTTTTTGGTATTTTCAAAGTATTACATGTGAAATATTAGGGTGTTGAAACAAAATTGTCATCATCTATTTTTTAATTCACCAGGATGGAGATGAAACTCCAGTAGTCGTGACAATGACGTCAGCGGATGGAGTCTTGGCTGCAATTTGAGTAACGAGTAACTCTCTGGACCGCTGACATACAATCCAGGTGCTAATTCTGTTGCTAGATTTCAAAATGGATAGCTTCCTGTCTGAGCACTTAACACATCTGTATTCTATCACGGTCACGGTCAATGTACAGCGTGCAGAGCTTCCAACCCAGGCGTGGGCAAACTCGACTCTTGGGCCACAATTGTCCTAGAATTGTCAGAAGCAGAGAGATGGTGTGTTCGTGTGAACTAAGATAAATGATATGTAAAAGTCATGCATAAAGGCTAAAATCATAAGATGCTTTTATCATTTTCTACGCCATCTATTGGGAAAACGTGGGTACTGCAGGAAAAATGTAGAAGTATGATGATAATATAAATAAATTATATCATTTGGAAAAGTTTGAGAGGCTGCGTTAAAAAGCCAAAGAAAAGTTTGAGAGGCTGCGTTAAAAAGCTGACGGGGTCGCATTCGGCCCCCGGGCCTTAGCTTGCCCATGCCCGTCCAAACCTGTTTGATTGTGAATAATCATCCATAGTCACATTTATAAATATATCTAATCTTTGTCATCCTACTTTCTCCTCAAGCTCTCCGTACCCGCTGGACTCTCTGGATACGATCTTTTATCTTGAGGAGCTGCTGTGTGGCTCAAAGAGATATGACCTTGTTGGACTCTTCTCTCCACCAAGACACCGAAGGCTCCTGGGTAAATGGGAGAAGAGGCAGCAGCCAGGACCTGTCTAACACCAGGTGTGTTCCAACAGGAAATCACAGAAATGTTCCTAAATACACACAGTTGTCTGCACCCGGATTATTAATGACCAAAATGGCCTGTTAGATTTTCAGAGTCAAGAGGAGTCAGGAAACAAGAAAGTGGCTACTTCTCTTTTGACATAAAAGGTGAACATAAAATGGAAGGCGACAACAAACGACATTTTCGTTACTACGAGAGGGGTCACCCCCTTCCTAGTAACCACGTTTTAGAGCCCAAGGCCTGTGTCCCTTACAGGAATGTCAACCTCGGTGTGCCATCCCAGAGAAGGAACACAGAGACATACATACAGGAAACCTGGAGAAGTGAATCTCCACAGAGGTACACATACCACTCCAACTTCAAACGAGGTGACACACCGGGAAATTCTCCCAGCCGTCACTGTTCAGTGAGTCCAGACCGCAGAAAGCTGCCTGAGTCTTCTGTAGCGCAACACAGTCCGAGATCCCTGTCCAGAAATGGGACTCAGACCCATTATTCATCTCACGGTTCCTCTCGTCACCCATCTCGACACGCCTCTCGACACACATCAGGCAGGTCCAGTCCGTCACGCAGGAGAGGGTCTACAACTTCTAGAGCAGAATCTCCCACAAGGGTTTCCTCTCACAGACGCAAAGACTCCTTTCAGCCTTTGGACCAAGATTACGTTGCTCATGGGGAATGCACCAGAGAGACAGGAAGTCCATCACAAGCTTCAGGCAAACACAGCTTGGATTCAGAGAATCTCTACAGGAATCTAGAGTTCCTCTCTTGCCAGGAGTCGTCACCATCCAGTAACATTAACGACACCTTTAGCCCCGCCCCGCAGAAGGATCCCCACAGCCGACTTAGTCCTTCTCAAGGCTCATGGCAGGGGTCGGCACACTCCTTACTCAGTCTCCCAATATCTCGTGGCTCTTCCTCATCAAGACTTGTTGTGGACTCACAGGCACCAGGCAGTACAACAAACCATGTTGCAGTCACGGACACTGATAAGGGTACGGAGGGTAACAATCAGATCGGGGGTGGAAGAAGCAGTAGCAACTTGAGACGAGGCATGGACGCATTGCTGACCTCTGAACCCAAGAAGGCTGATGTTGTAACTGAGGATGTGAGTGCTGTGAAACCTGATATTTTACAATTGTAAGATTGACTGTAGAACCATGTGTGGGTCATTTATGCTGAAAGCAGTAGTCAATAAGCACAAGGTCTGTTTCATTTTTCAGATTCAAAATGTTAGCAATGGACTGAAGCCACTGTGTTCTTTACAAGATTAAACAGTGTCAATACTGTAGTTAAAATATTGGTGTTTAAAGGTTGAACATAAAGAAGTTTTGGATTAATGTGTAAAACATGTATTTGTTTTCACTATAAACAACCAACAACCATGCTTGTAATTGTAAATAGAGATACTACTACTACTACTACTACTACTAGTAATAATAATAATAATAATAATAATAATAATAATAATAATAATAATAATAATAATAATAACACAATTGATAATACATTTACCATGACATTTTCTCTGTATTTCTTTATGGTAATCTGAGGTGGGCATGACCATGGAGGACTACATATCTCTGGCTGCTATTCCACTGATCCAGCTGGAATCAGAGGAAGAGGTTTCTGGTCTGAAAAGAAGGCACCAAAGTCCCAGCCCATGCAGGGACAACAGAATCAGAGCATACAGGTCAGGACTACGATGTGGTACTGGTTAACTGAAAAGCACATGTCCATCTACAGCTGAAAGACATGTTTAACAGTGACGGAATGATTTAATAATGAAAAAGCACTCAGAGGTGTGAATGTACCTGATTTGGATTCTGAAGGGAACAAGACGAAGTGGATTTTTACGGTTCAAGGCTCGAGTCGGATGAGAGGGGCCGAGTAAGAGAGAGGGGGAGAGACAGGAAGTGTCGAGACTCTGAAAATGGACGAGGATCTCGGAGACCATCAATGGCGACCTGTATTCAGGTACACTTGTGTTTGTTTTGTTTTTTGTTTTTGTTTTACCATTCAAACATAATGAACAAAAACAAACCACTTATTTGTCTGTTGACATTTTTTTACAGAGTTCAGATGAAAAGCACGGTGGAAAACACAGATCTTCAAAAGTGGAGGACGTTGCTTCCCTTGAGAATGTGGACACACAGGTGAACTCCCAAATTCGAAGGATATGTTGCCACATAATTCATATAAAATTTGGTAAATTATGTCAAAGTTCCAAACCAGGGGTTTAAGACCACTGGCCTGAGGGGAGTTCTGCCCTTGACCTCAATCCAGAAGAATCTTTCCTTGCTCTAAGTAATTGTTTTACAGTACTATGTATATATAATCATAGTCACATGACTGAAGTCTGCAATAAAGTAACACAAAACTAGAGGACAAAGTATAATGGTGCAGAGGAGTAAATTATAAAACTCTGAAGGTCATCCTGGTGGAAATTATGGTTCAGGGGGAATAGTTGGTCAAAGCACAGGGTTTGGAATTTTTTCTCTAGTTCCGATTTTGCTTTACCTCAGGCGCCCTTCTTACAGATGCAGCCGGCAGCAAGAAGTCATTAGTTAGCACTCCATGTTTTAGGGCAACTTGTCATATGATTTATCGTCCTTATTTATAGTCTGCAGGATAGTTCAAGCCAATGTATCCTGTATTCTCAGCACTGCAGTGTCACACCTTAAACAGCTGAGCCAGCAGATGATGACTTGTTGAAATTTTGTATATTCCAGTGCAGCAATGCACATGCACATAGATTTACATCTCTAATAAAAAACAATGCTAAAGTATGTACGACAGCACTTTGGTGACATTCTCCTTTTCTTTCTCTCCCCTAAATATGTGTTCTACCCAACATGATATACGGTGAGTATTTTCTGTTGGTTTTTTTTTGTTGTTGAAAAGCTCCAACACCAGCTGCTTGTCTAATAATGGTTCCACCAGTTCCTCTTCCCTCTGCTCATTAATTACTCATTAATTAACTTTTATAAAACTTTATTCAAGGTTTAATGTGACTACAAAACTCTGTCTTTTAATGTTAAAGTTTGAAAGTGTTTCTCACCTTTGAGGCTTTAAGACTTGTGCCACTGACTCTGACTCTGTTTCCTCCAATATAACAAGCTAACCACATTAAAATGGTTTACAAAAAAATGAAGGGTTGGATGTTCAGGCTGGATGAACATGGAAATGTAAGTAGAAGTCTATTTTGTTCAAGTACCACTGTATTAAACAATGTTGTAGCTGCATGTGATGGCATTACATTAAAGGGTTATTCTCTTTAATTGAGCAATACTTTGCTTTCTTCTCAGTGGGTGAAACACTGGTTTGTCCTGTGTGATTCCTCACTCCGGTATTACAGAGACTCAGCAGCTAAAGAGGTATGACTTCATGAAAACCAAGGTTTATTACTGAAATAATATCTGACGTTATGCTGTCATTTGTTACTGAATACTGCACACAATGGAACAATTTCATTGTCCTGCAGTCAGATGTGTACGGAGAACTGAACCTGACGTCTTGTTTAAATGTGTCAGACTGTGAAGTGGAGAAAAACTATGGACTCCAGATACAGGTGTGTGTTTTTTTAGTTGGTCGTACAATACACCAGTGGGGTTGTACCTACCTTCTTTCCACATCTTAGCACTATGAACACACACACTGACAACTTGTTTGTGTGTGTGTGTGTGTGTGTGTGTGTGTGATGTTGATCTCCCCACATTTTTTTGATCTCCTTCAGACAAAGCAAACTGTGCTCACTCTGTCTGCTGTGACCTCCAGACTTCGGCGGAACTGGGTGAAGTTACTGAAGCAGGCGATCCAAAATAACAGGCAGTAAGTCTGACTTTATTTTATGGGGCAGTGTTGAACAGGGGAGTGAGGTATTCAGTAAACATACATACTACCATGCATTTTATAAATTATGACTAGGGTCTAAGTACTTTATTTGAATTGTCCTACAATTGACCATGTCTACATTTCTGAATGTAATTATCACCTCAGGATAAACTGATTGGTTATTTCTACCATGTGAATTTGCCACAGGGTACCTCAGTCTTCTTCTTCTACTTCTTATTTTATATTGTCATGATCCAGTCAATGTGTTCTGAAGATGGCTCTGTATGCAGTACAAATGTCTCAATAAGTCATTCTTAGTTCAGTACAAATGTCTCAATAAGTCATTCTACAACAATAAGTCATAAAGTATATGAATTTTCAGTGTTTAGTAAAATCCATCTATGACAAACAACATTCCTGGATCTAACTTGTATTTTTTTAAATGTATTTTATTCACTGGGAAAGTTTAAAGTTGCTATGAAGGAATGCACACAAGCCCTGCTCTACACCATCCATCCCCTGATGTGAAACTTTACTCTTCTGTCTGTCTCGACCTTTCTGTCTAGCCAATCAGACACCTGCAGTGAGAAAGAAAACCCGCTCTCTTGTGGACTGTCGCCATACCAACCTCGCAGACCTCTCACCTGCAAACCTTCCAGCACCACAGATACAAACTCCCATCTAGCCGATCACCATCTCTCGGACTTGTCTCCGGCCTGTCAGAGAGAAGAAGGGGAGGGCTGGGACCGAGAGCAAGCAAAGCGTTTGGAGGAGAGGAACAAGTGGTTTGAGGAGGGGGTGCCCTTCAGTGAGATGGGCAGCAGGTGGGACTTAATGGAGCTTAAAAAGGGGACTTTACCTGTGCCTGTCATTGAAACCATGGACTCAGAAGTCAACAGGAAATGGACTGAATTTGAGACACAGTCATTCAGAGACATGTCTGCGCAGTCTCTAATTGGAGCTGAGGCATATGTAAGCACCCCACATGAATCACAATCTCAAGTTACAAGTCAGAACTGTCAGTCAAGACTCAGCCCCAAACAGGCTGATCCAAGTACAACTGGTTCAAAGCAGGACTTAACTAATTTTAGGGGGAGTCTCCAGTCTATAAACGAACAGACCATTCAAACAAATACAGGAGAAATTCAGCAAAATGAGGTAAGAAGGAAGTTATATTGAATAATGTGAATGTAAAATTGGTGTTAAATATATTTTTGTTTTCAAGGCCCTATCTCTTCAAAAACAAGTTAACAATAATAAAAAGGAATGTGCAGTCATTGGGACTGAGACGGACAGCCCGTGTGGCCCACGGGCCGTCTGTGGAGCCAAATTCAAAGCTATGGAAATAGCTCATCAGAACGCCCTGCAGGAGCTGCAGGAGAGACACAGGAAGGAGATCATGGAGCTGGAGAAGCAGAAAGACAAACTGTTACAGGAGGAAAGACAGGCGGCTGCAAACGGTAAGACAGACAAAAAGACTTGATTTATTCTCTTTCAGCTGCTCCACTGGTGATAATCTGTCTCTATTTTACCCTGACCTGCCTCTACATCAATGACATACATGTCCTCCATAATATATTCATAAATTGTCTCTAGAGTCTTCCTCTTTTCCTCCTGGAATTTTTAACAAAACACCAAATCTCAGTCTTCTTCAAACCCAGCAACACCATCTGACAAAAACTAGTTTACCCCAAAGACAGAATACCACACCACAAACAGAACCATGTTGTTTATACCATACAGTGTAGTGAAGATTGTCCTCTCAAACAGCCACTGTACAAGTGCACGCAACAACACAGGAGAGACAGCTGTTCAGGCCAGACTCCAGTTGCTCTCTTTAAGGACAAAGGACAAACCTTTGAGGATAGAAATACACATGCCTTTGACAGATGGTTTGACAGAGGAGTAAAGGAGGCCATTCACATAAACATGGAGAAACCCAGAGTCAACGGAATCAGCCACTGTTGTCCTGAGTTCTCACGCCAGAAAATTCAACTCTATTTCACCAAACAACACAGACAGACTGGAGGGGCACAGAGCCAGGTTTGTCCCTCAGGTGGAACCAGTCTCCACGTGGCCTCAAACAACCCCCCCCATTTAAACATCACAATCACAATTTTCTGCCTTTGGAATAGGGTGTGGTCACCTTCTTTGTTTTATTAATGAATAACTTAGATACTGACCAACCTATTTATAATTAAAGCTATGAATGCACTGAGAGCAGCTCACAAAGAGGAGATGGAGAAGGTCATGAAGTTGTCTGGAGGAGATTCATCATACAGAGAGCACATGTAAGTTTGCCATAGGAACTCTCAGTGCAAACATGTTCTACGCTCAACTGTGACCTCTATCACACTTTCACAGCACTCTACTGTATTTCCTCACTTTTTTGTCTTGTCTTAGGCCTCGGTCTGCAACGTTAAACAGTGAATCAGATTTATTATCGCAACACTATTCTTCGACCTGCCTGGAGTTCAGCTCTAAGCAAACCTACAGGAGCCATGACAACAACCTCAGGCCCACGGAGAGTGAGCTGGTGAAGCTCAGAAGAGAAAACCAGGTGTATACACAAGGCTTAGTGTTTTTTTTATTAAAAACTTAGTCATTAGAAATGGGTTTTTATTATCAATATCATAAGATGTATTAATATTTATAGGGAGTCCTTACATATTTGTGAAAATATAATTGTCTTTGAAATATGATATCTTTCTTCAGGATCTTAAGGCCAAACTTGTAGAGGAAACCAGCCGCATGCGCTGCTTCATTACAGGTCAAAGAATGGACATGGTGTGTCAAAACAGAGCTGAGCACACTGTGTCAGAAGTAGAGGTACTGACAATAATTTGCTGTTGAGATATGCAACTTCATGTCATTGGAATAAAAATGTGAATTTAATGTCTATAAGACATGAGTGCAGCTGAAGCCTCTTTATTAATGCACCCGAATTACTTTGGCCACAGGGAGAAAATGTCACTGCTGTAAAAAGCTAAATTTGGCTGAATGTGTTATGGGATTTTAAACCCTTTCTAAAACATTGTTGCAGCATTTCAGGCCTTTGTCTTTTATCCTAATTAGTTGGTCCCTATAGTAACTGCAGAGATTCATTTTTTATTTGGCCTCACCCTGTCACACCGAGTATTTGCAGACAGGGCCATCTACTGACTATCAAACACATTCCACAATAGTTTTCTTTACCTTTTACATCATTATTTATTGATTTACAGTATTCTGCGTGACTCGGTTTCTGCATGTGAATAGAGGTCTGTTTGTACCAGTATTTATTTAAAAGTGACAATTCAATATGTAATAAAATTTCATTTTATTTTATTGATGAAGTCATGTATTATATTCCAGATGCTACTAAGAGCAAAAGAGAATGAAGTGGTCCATCTTAAAAAAGAAATCAGCTGCTTGCAGAGTGAGATACAATCTCTCAAAGGTATGTTTCATAACTTGAACTATTATGCCATAAAATTAGTAAAACCAGTTGAATGTCACAGTTTGTACTGACATGTGTGCTTTTCTGTTTAAACCCTGGCTCTAGGAAAATGGGGCAGTCTTTGACAATGCTGAACTTCAGGAAACAGTTGCAAGACAAAGCTGAGCAACAATGACCTTTACATTTAACGCAAAATAAGGGCAAAAAATGTGCACTTACAAAAACACATGAAATACTTTTTTATCCATATGTAATTTATTTTATTTAGATAGATGACCAAATGGAAACAGGAGTGATGGTGTATCTAGTAGTTGATGTTGTAGCTACACATAGTATTAGAGTTTACAATTATTTCTAAAAAGAAAACCCGCAAAAAAACATGATAAGTAGCAGAGAAGTGTGGAGCCAGATGGATGGAGGTAGAGGGGTATGCTTGAATGTCAATCAACTCATCCTCTGCATCTTTCTCATGCTGATTGATATGCTTTCAGTCATCATTTCAAAGCACTCTGTGAAATGTAGGAAAAGGAAAATGTAAGTGTAATTTGTTGCCATGTGTCAAACAGTTATTTAACAATCTGTACACATTAAATACAGATAGTAATAGTATTGGTAATACAGTTGTCCTACAGAACGATTTTTAGGGTTGTAGAAATGGCTGTAAACCTGACCATTTTTGTAAATCAATCATCATCATCGTCATCCTCAGGGACAAAGATGTCGTGTTCCTCCAAAAGGGCCGCAAAGTTCTTGCTGATCAATGTTCCCACGTACAGGAAAGGCACAACAACTACTGTCATGCGGATAAGACCAAATGGTGTCTGGAAAACATGACAGATATCATAAAGAGGATTAATGCAAAGGATAAACAGAAAGAAATTGTATCTTTTAAGATTCATAAAGACAAACTTGGTTCCATCTGTATTCGTTTTGATATTCATAAAAATTTGGATTTGCTTTCAAAGGAAACTATACAAATGAGAGCTCAAGTGAACAGTTTAAGGGGAAATGACCTAGTCTAATTGTAAAACAAATGTTTTACATCTGTGTCCAGTTTGTTTTTCTAGCTTTAACATTTCTCTCTATAGTTTTCCCTCTGACCATTTCCCTTTGATAGACGTCCCAGTTTCCTCCTTGAAAGCAAAACTTGTTTATGGAATATACGTTGTATTTAGCCGCTCTGATATCTTCTACAGAAAACAGGTATAAACCACTTCCCAGGTACATAATTACATAACACGCCATTTTAATATGACAACATTCACAGTTATTTTCAGTAGCACTTAGTGACACTGCGTGCATTTGGTTGTAATGCCATTCTAACAAGATCACGAATGCACTCAATCGACACCGCAGAATTCGACCACCACTGCGGCATTTTACTGTGGGGGCATTACTATCACAGTCTGGCCTTGAATGATTTCGCTGCTAATGCCCTGAGAAAAATACAATACCGACATATAATCTAACTAACGCTTAACGTTTGTTATATTTAAATTGCGACTAAATCATTAAAACTGGGACGCCAACCGAGTATTTTTACATATTTTTAAAAATAGTATATATCTTTGGTTATTACTTCCTGAATGTTCTCGTCCTTCATGTAAACACCCTTTTCATTGGTCGATTTCACTAAGTCAAGGCGCTATGGACCTCTCATTGGGTACATTTGGTGTCACATTCGCCGAACGTCCCGCCTACTCGATGAGTCACTACATGGTTTTCCTGGTTTTCTGTAGGTTGGCAAACATATACTTACTTTATCGGGTTTTGGTAAAATTGCCCCCGATGACGATGATACTGCCGTTCGGATTTGAGTCACCCTGGATATCTCTGTCGATTTCATACCGGTGTTACGTCTCACTAAGATCTTGTTTCGGGTAGGAAGCCGCAGTGCAAGACGCAAAACGTTGGCCGCCATTTTTACCAGTATTTGTGATCGTGAGGGTGGGGCTTAAAAAGTGCTTTATTCTGGTCGTTCCTTTCTTCTGACGTTCGATACGTAATACAGTTATTGCTGGTTTGTTTTGGTAAACTATTTATTATTAAATTGAATTTATTATTATTTTACATGTAATTGAATGAAATATATAAATAATAATAATTACAGTCAATAATTACAAATAGTCCTATTTGTTGTAACTACACTGTCGTGACAGCAAAGAAAATTACAGGGTTGTTTTCGTGTCATACTGTAGAGGCATTTTGTAAACAATTGTGTGGCTGTAAATTAAGCTGTAATTAATGTGTTAAGTTTAGTTAAGTTTTCTTTGGTCATGGGGGTCTGTACTTATTTCTTATAACAAACTGTGACTATATAACATATTTAAACTTAGTATTTCGTGTAATGGAATGAAACTATTAGTACTGATACAAATGGCAAGTTAGAGATAGAAAAGAGTTTTGTTTTAAAGTTAATTAAAAAAGGGACTTCTTCAATCTAACCCAGCATTCCAGAAAAGAGCTGGAATAACCTACCATGTAGATTTAAAAACTTTTGGATCTGTGAAAAGATAGTAGCTCTCTGAGTCCTGTCAGAACTCCCTGCTTCACAAAGATAAATGAACATACTAAATTTCATTTAATATTCATTATATACTCAGTTAATTGTATACATTTCTTTATTTAAAATTTTCATCCTTATTTAAATTACTTTTTTTTTTACTTTTTAGACTAATACCCCGTCCCCTGACCCTGCTCCTCAATGACTTATCCTGCTGTTGAAGGAGTACTTTAAAATAATGTGCAGTACACATTCAGCTGATATATTGGTTTGGTCAGAGTGTGTAGTTTTGTTTATAAAACCTGAGCCTATTCTGGAGTTTACATCTCTGTTGACTTTAAGTCTATATGTAACATTTTGTAAAACTTTGGTCAAAATCCTGTTTTATAAAATCCTATAAACAACTTCTGCTGCCTCCTGGTATTGCTGTTTCAACATTCATGTGAAACAATAACCAGAGACATATAGACTTTGATTTTACTGTTTTTGAAAAAAATATTTTTATCAGTATTTTTTCAAGTCAACGTCTACTCATTTCAGGTGACCCCAAGGTTGACAAACACTGCCATAGAAGATGTTTTTTTTTTTTCATTTTCTGTCTGTTTATTTGTTGCAGACTGAAAATGTCATCAGTAAGAATGTTTGTTAAAAAATAATAATAAGGAACTACAAAATAACCAAAGAAGGGAAGAAGGGTTCTTGTGGTTGTTAGAAAGGGGTGGGGCCAAAGAAAAATAAAGAAGTTTATTATTCAGGAAATAAGACTGCACGGATTCAGTCATTTTGGTGGATATTGTTCAGTGAAGTTACACAGTGTAAGGCAGTAAAAGGTAACAATGAACTATATGAATCAGTCTGCAACATCATCTGGAGGTCAGAGCTCAAAGAACCATGACGATGGTGTGGGTCCTGTCAAATCAGGTAAGACAGAAATCATTATAACTGAAATAAAGTTTCCTATCCTTTATTATTGATTGATTGATTGATTGATGATAAGAAGTAGTTTATTACTGAACACAGAAAATAAACAAAAGTCAAGTAAAGCTCTGCATTTTGTAGGTGTTAAGTGTGAAATACGTAGATATTCAACTTCAGTCTAACCCAGCATTTCAAATCTTATGAACCTATAAAGTATCTTGCAGATGTGAACAGATATGACTGTGCCAACAGTGTAAGTTCTGCTCTTAGGAAAGACACTCCTAAGACTGATTGGTGTGAGCTTCGGACTCCTGTGTATTCTCCAAGCTGCCTTAAATGTTTCTCTGCGTCTTGTTCATAGTAAGTGGTTTCAAAATATTTGGTCTGAAATTATTGACTGGTTTGATTATACTTTCTGAAACAGCAAATGAAACTTTCTAAATATTTCCACTGCCTATATTAATGAGGATTTAACATGACTGCAGTCATGTTTTATATCATTTTACAGCATAATGGGGTAAAAGGTGATCATTCTCATTGATGTAATTGCTTTCAGGATAGTACTTTTATGTATTCCTTGCACTCACATGGAAAAGACTTAATGACTTCATGGATGTTTTTACACAGTTGATTAAAAATCAGTGTAGGACGCGAATTGAAGAATTAAACAAATAACTTACAATAATTCTATGAAAGGTGCTTAGAATAGAGAAGTTAGGGTGAGGAAGTGAAGCGACTACAGCTTGTGAGGTTTTCTTTTCATTTATTTGAGGTCACACTAATGGGAAGACGTCACCTGTTGAAGGAAGTTGCAAAAACCTGACTGAAGATATTGATAACCTGAAGACTGCACTGCTGCACATTAGTAAGTAACTGATCGATTTTTATTTCAGTTGGGCCCAGACTCTTGACATCAGGCTCTTTGACACTAATTATTAAGATTCTACTTAATAATTCTTCTTAATAATTCTACAACAGATCATCAAGAATGGGTTTATTTCCAATGTAGTTATTACTACATTTCCAACATAAAGAAATCCTGGCAGGACAGTAGAGATGACTGTCTGAAGAGAGGTGCAGATCTGGTGATTATCAACAGTAAAGGGGAACATGTATGTATGTGTGTGTGTGTTTGTTGCTATTTATGGATATTAATAAAAGAATCTCAGAGATGTTTCTATGACATCGCCAAAATGTTTGAAAAACGAATAAATTGTAAACTCCTTTCTTAATACTTCTGTTTCATTCTGCAAAAAGGACTTCACAAGAAAATTATTTGGTTCTCGATGGATTGGACTAAGTGACACAGATGGAAATAGGACATGGATGTGGGTGGATGGCACTCCACTGTCACAAAGGTTCACTCCTAACCCTTTTATTCTACTGCATCTCCTCATATACCATATAGGAAAATGAATATCTTTCAATACCTCCTGCATCATTTTCTATGTATTAATGTCTGCATCATTGCTTTCCAGTTACTGGGGCTCAGGGGAACCCAATAATTCACCGGGGAAGGCTGAAGAATGTGTGGAAATAACGTTTGACCATGAAGAAAAGAGCTGGAATGACCTACCATGTAGCTCTAAAACCTTTTGGATCTGTGAAAAGATAGTAGCTCTCTGAGTCCTGTCAGAACTCCCTGCTTCACAAAGATAAATGAACACACTAAATTCCATTTAATATTCATTATATACTCAGTTAATTGTATAAATTTCTTTATTTAAAATTTTCATCCTTATTTAAATTACTTTTTTTTTTACTTTTTAGACTAATACCCCGTCCCCTGACCCTGCTCCTCAATGACTTATCCTGCTGTTGAAGGAGTACTTTAAAATAATGTGCAGTACACATTCAGCTGATATATTGGTTTGGTCAGAGTGTGTAGTTTTGTTTATAAAACCTGAGCCTATTCTGGAGTTTACATCTCTGTTGACTTTAAGTCTATATGTAACATTTTGTAAAACTTTGGTCAAAATCCTGTTTTATAAAATCCTATAAACAACTTCTGCTGCCTCCTGGTATTGCTGTTTCAACATTCATGTGAAACAATAACCAGAGACATATAGATATTGATTGATTGATTGATTGATGATAAGAAGTAGTTTATTACTGAACACAGAAAATAAACAAAAGTCAAGTAAAGCTCTGCATTTTGTAGGTGTTAAGTGTGAAATACGTAGATATTCAACTTCAGTCTAACCCAGCATTTCAAATCTTATGAACCTATAAAGTATCTTGCAGATGTGAACAGATATGACTGTGCCAACAGTGTAAGTTCTGCTCTTAGGAAAGACACTCCTAAGACTGATTGGTGTGAGCTTCGGACTCCTGTGTATTCTCCAAGCTGCCTTAAATGTTTCTCTGCGTCTTGTTCATAGTAAGTGGTTTCAAAATATTTGGTCTGAAATTATTGACTGGTTTGATTATACTTTCTGAAACAGCAAATGAAACTTTCTAAATATTTCCACTGCCTATATTAATGAGGATTTAACATGACTGCAGTCATGTTTTATATCATTTTACAGCATAATGGGGTAAAAGGTGATCATTCTCATTGATGTAATTGCTTTCAGGATAGTACTTTTATGTATTCCTTGCACTCACATGGAAAAGACTTAATGACTTCATGGATGTTTTTACACAGTTGAATAAAAATCAGTGTAGGACGCGAATTGAAGATTTAAACGAATAACTTACAATAATTCTACGAAAGGTGCTTAGAATAGGGAAGTTACAGTGAGGAAACAGGACTTTCCAGTATTGTCAAATATGAAAAAAAAGTGACTAGAAATGGTGAGGTTTGTTTTTTTCATATGTTTTAGGTCACACTAATGGGAAGACGTCACCTGTTGAAGGAAGTTGCAAAAACCTGACTGAAGATATTGATAACCTGAAGACTGCACTGCTGCACATTAGTAAGTAACTGATCGATTTTTATTTCAGTTGGGCCCAGACTCTTGACATCAGGCTCTTTGACACTAATTATTAAGATTCTACTTAATAATTCTTCTTAATAATTCTACAACAGATCATCAAGAATGGGTTTATTTCCAATGTAGTTATTACTACATTTCCAACATAAAGAAATCCTGGCAGGACAGTAGAGATGACTGTCTGAAGAGAGGTGCAGATCTGGTGATTATCAACAGTAAAGGGGAACATGTATGTATGTGTGTGTGTATTTTTTTTCTATTTATGGATATTAATAAAATATATTTCTATGACATGGCCAAAATGTTTGAAAGGCCAATAAATTGGAAAAGTGAACTCATTTCTTAATACTTCTGTTTCATTCTGCAAAAAGGATTTCACAAGAAAATTATTTGGTTTTCGTTGGATTGGACTAAGTGACACAGACGGAAATGGGTCATGGACATGGGTGGATGGCACTCCACTGTCACAAAGGTTCACTACTAACCCTTTTATTCTACTGCATCTCCTCATATACTGTATATTTTGCATTATTTTCTATATATTAATGTCTGAAATATTGCTTTCCAGTTACTGGCACTTAGGGGAACCCAACAATTTTGAGGGCAAAATTGAAGAATGTGTGGAATTAAAATTTCAACATGAAGAAAACAGCTGGAATGACCAAGTATGTGGAGATGAAAACTTTTGGATCTGTGAGAAAAAAGTGGCTCTCTGAGTCCTTTCAGAACTCCCTGCTTCACCAAAATAAATGAACATACTAAATACACTTTCTGGTTTCTGTACCATTTTTTTTTCAATTTGCGGCATAGAAATAGGTATACCTAATGTTATGAGGCAATTAATGCATATTTATTCATTATTGGGACCATTTTAATTTTCAAGATTTTACAGAATGTATTGCTTTCGTATGCTACTTTTGTTCAATGGCAAAAAGAATTTTAAGCATAAAAATGTCTAGCTACCTATTTTTAGGCAACTTCATTTGATTATATTCATTCATTTTGTAGAACATGACTTTCAGGATTATACCATTACCCTAGTATAATACTTCTGATCGCAGGTTGACACACGAAAAAGTTTTTTTTCTCAATTTTAAATATTATGAAAAACCTGGGACCATTTCATTTTTATTCAGATATTTTCATGTTGTTATTAACAGTTGACTATGGCATATTTAATGTCACTTGCATTATATAAAATCGTCGATAGATGGCGGTACAAACCAATCCCAGGACACTTCCGGAAACAGAGAACGAGCGTAATGCCCAATCAAACAAGACTTCAATTTTAAATGAGAACTGATACTTTGTTCTGTTGTAATACCTAAAACCAGAAAACCGACCTAATAACTGACATCTACCATCAAGTCTTACATATCTGAGGAATACATTTTATCCAATATCTGTTGGATGTTGAGGAACTCCAGCTGCCTCTGGCCGACAGCTGTTTGATGGGACCTCAAGAGGGAGAGAAGGGTAAGTCTGTCGACACTGTCTGGATAAAGCTAACGACACGTAACGCTTATTCAAAGCTAAACGTTTTCGCTACTTGCTCGCACTTAACTCTCACAAATACAAGACAATTAGCGGATTCAGTTTACACACATTTTGTCATACATACGGTTTAATGGACGTAGCTAATGCCGCTAACAAAACCTGAATGAACAGACCGAGGTAGAAGCTCGTTACTTTTGAGTTTACACAGCATTAACATTCCTGTAAATCAACTGTTGTGCATTTTTGGTTATATAAGTTTTAAAGTCACTCGGGCTCTCGGCACTCTGTTTTCTACTAAGTGAACATCTACTTTTTTCAGGAGTGTTTTGCTGTTAGGTCGACTCAGTGTCCGTCTATCAGAGCGGTACAAAAGGACGAAGACTCCCCGCTCCTTGAGTTCAGTTTGCCGCGGACACGTATTTATACCTCAAACAAATGTTCTGCTTCTACAGCAGAGGGAGCTGGAAAATGTCGAAATAAATGCTAATTTACTATGTAAAATGACGAAGATATTTGATCCTACACAACTGTTTCACCTACAGTTAAATGTGAACAGTCTTTTTCTTACTTTGTTTATATGCCCGGTAAAGTATTAATTTACTACTGTTTTGTAATTCTAAGTGTTAATCATACAGAGCAGGATGTCTTAATAACAAACAAGCAGTGTTTCAAGCTTGCGTTTTGTAAACGTGTGTAGTAGTGTAATTATGACGTGCTTACCACCACCTGGCTAGTAGAGATAGATGACTAAATGCATATAATTTAGTCAGATTATAGAACATATCCTGAAATAATATTTTTGCAATTTTCTTAGAGGAATGGAGGATTCTTTTAACTCATAGGACACTGTCTACACACGCAAGTGAGAGAAAACTGCTTGTGGGGTCATTGGGTGGATATAGATCTCAAAATCATGTGATGTTAAAGAAAGAGTGAAAAACAACTCATGTGAGAATACTTTAAAGAACAACCCCCAACAGTCAGCACAAACTGTGTGTCTGTTATTAGACAGTGACTCTGGTTCATTTGACTAGCCTACACAGCATATACGATTTCGTTTATAAAAAAAAAAACTGAATTGGCCCCAAAACTGTCAAGAAATACCTCTAACTACTGGTTTAGATAAGAGAAAGACTAAAGAAATTACTTTTTTTATTATTGCTGTCTGGTATGCATGTCTATACGAAGCTATTTTATGGAAATAGTATCTACACCTGTGTAGAAACAACTATTGAAAACACAAACCCAAATGTTTCTTTTTTGTGTGTTTTTAGACTGGGTGGATGTGGCAAATGATCTGTTCAACAAGTGTCACGTGAACCTGAGGCTGAGGAAACTGACAGATTGTGATGCACAGGTGTTCACTGCTTTGTATGAGAACATTTTGGGGGAAAAGGTTCCAGGTAAGTGCAAAACACCCAGCCAAGGTCAAAATACCTTGACCAAAACAAGTTCATTTTAAAGCAAAATGATGTTGTTATAAGTGGGAGAGAATACTATGAGGTGGCCTTTTTGTTAGCAAAGATGTGTAAGGCTATTGTTACGGGTTCTCACATAAAATAAAATAATAAAAAAAATAGTACATAAATTACCATCATACTGTGTTTTGTCCCATTGCTACATTTACTACTACATTAATTACTATTGTAATGTTCTGTTTTAGATTATATTGCAGAACCATGCAGTCAAGAGGACGATGTTCACAATGTTCAGTCTGTAATTGATTCCCTCTCTCTGGATTACCTTCAGATCAGCCTCTCACACATAACAGGTGCGTGCTCTTCATTTGTTACCATGGTGCATCATTGACAGTATCCTTAACATGAAATGTTCATGTACACAACTCAATGAAGATCATTTTGATCCCATATTTATTCTTTCTGTAAACAAGGTCCTGATTATAATACCATGTGTTTGCAGGAGAAAATGTTGTCAGGGGAGACAAGGAGTCTATCAAAAACCTACTGGAAATCTTCGATGGCCTTGTGGAATACCTCAATGAGGAGATAAATGAGGAGTCACAGATAATTGAGAGTGAGAAGATCAACATTTCCTTAACTTTATCAAAATTTCTGACAGTGAAAAATGAACACAAAGTGCTATCATAACACATTTTTGGCATAATACTTCCTCTTAGCTTTTCTTTGTTTTTAAGTCATGCCAAAGACCATTAACATGAAATGCATTGCAAAACAGACAATGGTCGATATATGGTTTTGCAGAAATTAGGCTAGTTATTAATTATTTCACATCATCGAAGATAAGTGAATGGATGTTTTTTTAAGTATTCTGTCTGTTTATTTGTTGCAGGGGAACAGACTGACAAGTTGACCGAAAATGTCTTCAATCAAAGTAACGAATCAACAAGCTACACTATCAAAGAGCACAAGGAGGGAGTGTCTTCACCTTCCACTGAAGAGTAAGAGCTCTAAATCAACAAGCTCATAATTTCATATCATAAATCATTCCAATCTGTATATTTTCTAAAGTGTAACACATTTTGTCACTATTTTATATGGGCTTTTTGACTTTTGGCTTATATTGTGGTGTAGTTACACTGGACAACTGTCCAATCCCAGGTTGCATTTTAGTTCAATAAACTGTTGTCAGTTGAGTTGTTCGTGAGATAATTCAGCTTCAGTGTGTGGTTGTTCGAAGCTGCACATCCTGTTGACGCAGTCAAACTATCCTAAGTTCTAAGTGCCTTGTAAATATTAGGACGCAAGTAACATCACAGTGAGTGTTAAAGTGCTGTTGCTGTTTTGATTAGTAATGTGTAAGAAATAATCAATTATCACGTGTTCTGATTTGAACAATATTTTATTTTTTAATGTAGATAGTTGACTTTAATCTGGAAAACAGAAATGTGAGTGCATGCTTTAAAGTGTTATTATGTCAGTGGCTCTGTTTATAAAATACTAGTTATTTGTCTTTACTCAGGTCTGTTTCCCAGGCCAGTAAAAACTCCCTTAGTCACTGGAACAAAGAGACGGATCGACCTTCTGTTCCAACATTTGGGTCGGAGGACACTCCTTCCATGTTTACAGGCAAACAAGAAGGTAAGACACAACATGACCAGCTACACTTCGCAGTGAGTTATTGCATACACAAACAAAGTCATGCAACAGGTACACACAACAGGTTAAACCTACAGAGGCGCGTTAGTCTTTTGACACAATGACACTATTTTTCTTTTTTTTAAGGACTGGCTTCTCATCCTCATGCTTCAGTAGCCATCGACGGCTCTGGTCCTTTGGATGCTCAGGATGCTGTGACTGAACCTGTGCACTTGGCTGTTGCACTGAAGCCTCCCAACCAGAGTCAAACTCTTTACACACCACAGACAGACTCTCGCCCTCTCATGCATACTGCAAATGGTGCTGGTGTCAGTTCTGAACAAACAGAGGAAAGTTTGAGGAATGTTTCAACAGAGGTACGTTCATAAAATACATGAACTGTGGAATGATCAACAAAAGTCTTCTCTCTCATGGGGGTTTACACACCTGCACAAACAGATTCAAAATGAATGAAGCAAAATCATTTGCATTAATCAATTGTATAAACCACTGTAAATATTGCTGCATATATGACTTAGTTGGCTTTTAAAAGAGAATGAAAGTATCTTGTGAAGACATTCAGGACCACCCACTCAGAACAAGACCAGAAAAGGAGTGTCACCTGTAGCTGTAAACATTGCCAGGGGTTATTGAGATCAACAACATCTTAACGTTCTCAAGTCTACTTTCAGAGCGTTGAGTGGGTTAAAGTAAGTATTTGGGCTGAATGTTTCCTATTAAAAAGAGGGGTGGCTGGAGCCAACTCTCAGGATCAGTTGGATATTGGTCCAAACTTTAAGGATTGAACATGGAAACAAAGCAACTACAGCCCGTCCGATCTGATACCTAAACCTAAATTCTCAGATTAACTTTATGCATTATGCTGTTAACAGGAAGACTATCACCTCAGTAACAACAGTCCGTAGCATGCTGCAGGAGAAAAGAAGGTATCAGATTGATATCGGTATCGGCAGATACTCCAAGTTGCAGTATTGGGTACATGGACACGGACATGCACCAGTTGTGCATCAAGCCGTTCCTATTATAAACTCATGACTAGAGTGTTTGACCTTTTCATTTCACAGAAAGGTTGTGATGGACTAAAGATAAAGACATGCTTTCAGTGATGGTTATCATTAACACGTTGTTATAGAAATAACTGAGTCTAAAACCTCAAGGGCAATTTAATGTAGGCAACTGGACTCACGTCAAGTAAGTTGAAGATGTTTCGCCTCTTGGATGAGTTTATATATATATACCTCCACATTCTCTAGGTCAATCACTGACGTGCACAGTCTGTCTTTATCTGATCTTCCTTTGTAGCAGATACGTCACGTACACATGCACTGCATTTTTCATTTTGTTTTTCAAATGTCACTTGTAATTTCTCCTTGTCACAAAGATCCCCAAACCAGCAGACCAGACCGCGGTTACCAATGGATTCCTGTCCCCTCCCTCTTCTCAGTCAGCAGGTACGCTAAATGAAATGTGACTGGCCGTTTGGAATGCTATAGTTTACGTGGATTTGGTTTCCTCTGAAAGCATGTGTTGAATCAGAAGTAATGAGGACAGTAATAATGACATTTTTAGCTGTTTGCTGTTGTTGAACATTGAATAGGATCAGAATTGACAAAGTGAACATTTTTATTTCTCCAAATAGTTTCAAATCAAATGTCCTTTAGAGCTAGTTATGTTGTAATGATGGTTACATTTGAGATCATTATTTAATAAAACTTGAACTTCTTGCGTTGTGCGTGTGTTTGTGTTTCTGTGTGTGCCACAATCATTTTTTGCTGATGTTCATTTTTTCAGATGTGGCTGAGGAGTCCTTACCCAGTCATCACAGAGCTACAGCCAGTGTGGTGGAAGACTCACTTGGGGTGAGACATTATTATGCCTACATTGGTGTCATTTTTACTCAGATGTTTCTGTGCAAAGTGTGTCCGTGCTGCCAGATATAGATTTTTTTTCTTTTTTTACTTCCTATGTTGTTGAATATGATCTATTTAATAGAGCTATTCATGTATGCTGCAGATATTTTTTATCCTTTATTATTAATGCTTTTATTTATTTCCAAAGTTCCATTCATTCTTTTGCAGAGCTAATTTTTTAGTAAATATTGATTTTTTTCTTGTTTTTTTTCTCAGCAAACCAACACAGTACCAAGATGGTCATTATTGCTCAACCATCCAGATGAGTGTTTTATACCCGAGCAGAATGGTGCAACGTCCACTTCTCCACCAGACACTGATGAAGAAAGAGAGGACTATCTCCGTAATAATAGAATATTTCAGGGCAAAAGGTCTCATCACATGAAAGACCACAGGTAAGTCTAGATGTTTCAGATCTGTGGTCAGTTGTTGTTGTAGTAGCCTTTCTTTTCCTTGTTGTCTGATCTTGGTATTATTTGACCCAACAGTAAACTGCCAGAGGAACGTTTCAAAGATCCTCCGTTGTATTGCAGACAAAGAAACAGGAAAGCAGAAGAGGAACTGCATCTTATATCTGAAAATCTCTCTCACAGGCTTGAGGAACTAGATGAGGTTCTTTGGGGATTTTTTTAAAATATTTTTGGTCAACTGATGAACCACATGATGTTTTTCTTGAATATGTTCTGTGTCATGTTTGCTTACTGTGTGTTGCGTCACTGTTCTCGTTTTTAAAGATGCTTAAACGGGTTCTTGAAGAAGCAGGAGAGGACAGTGAGGTCAGAGAAGCTGACACGGAATGTCACAGGAGTTCCAGAGGGCACATGGGTACCAGTCTTTTTTTAACATTACCGTCAAATGGGCTCTTTTTTGATGAGGTCCTCTGGAAAGGCAACTATGTTGGGTTCCACTATCTTTACATTAGTTTTTTTCTATATACCATAATAAAGCTAAATATGTTTATTTTTAAGTAAGAACTGAGAACTGAAAATGAGCACAAGCCACTCAGGGTCTCATGAAAGGGCTTAGGATTTAAGCACAGTTCTTTATTAGTTTAGACTCAACGGCACAAATTACCACCGTACACAGGGATGCATGAACATGATACGTAAACACACAAAGATGTGTAAATTCACGCTCCATTTATAACGTCAGTATTCCTTCTTCTGTTGATGCTAACGCCTCAACCTTCTCCTACAGAATAGAAGAACTGTCATTTTATAACGATGTCATGTGAACATGCTTGAGAAAGATATGTGTGTTAATGGAGACATGTGACTGATTCGTGTGCAGTACGAGCCTGACCTGACTGCATGCTGTCAGCAATGACATTCACCTTCTTACAGCATCAGTTATGTTTCGCTTCATTGTGGATTATCTCCTCTGATGATTCCCTCCCACTGCTCTGTGGAGCATCTACATTCAAACTACACTTGGCATTTTTGTACATATGCATTTAGTCACTATTAGAATTTATAGTCTGACTGTACAAGAACAGTTTATTTTTAAGCAGTAAATGATGCCGAACAAGAACCAAAAAAATAAGCTGGTGGTGGTTTCTGAAACAATGGCCAATGACAAGTATATAATCAAATAATTCTATGAGTTTAGCCACATTTAGAACCGCCCACAATATCTACTGCATGTACTGGTTGAGTGAAAAGTAATGGATATCAACCAGTTTTAAGGAGCATTTGATTTAACATTCACATAACCGATGTTCTCTCCATCAGGTGTTAGTTTCTTCCTTCCCGGAGAGCCAGAGAACGCAACGGCAGCGGGTTCGAGTCTGGATGAGAGGAGACAAACCAACCTAACAGTTACTGATCATTCAAAACGAGACAAGTCTGGTCACAAACCGTCCCACAGAAATCACATTAAGGTAATGTGTTTCTTCAGATAGATCTGTACAGATAAAGCACACCAAGATACTGCATCTGTTGTGTTTCATAAACTCTATATATAATTATTTGTACTGTGTGACAGCTTAAAGTGTCTATAGAAAAAAATCTCTGTTTCTATCTGAAACAAGTTCATTCTTAATAAAGTTAGAAATAATTTAATGGTCAAGTTTTAGTTTTACTTTTTTCAGCATCCACGCAATAAAGCCTATGAGGAAGAACTGAAAAGATTTGAAGACAAAAAGCGAGCAGCACTGGACGAGGCTCACCTCACAGCACAGGAGGTTGTAAGTGTTTTGTGTTTTATTTGTCCTAATGTATGAATAGTTTTCATTTCACTAACGCCCTGTTGATGTCGGCCTTAAATACTGATAAAACTTTGTTTAGCCCTTATGGTCGAACAGTTTATAAATGCTAACTTTATTTATATAATCAGATTAAATAAGATAGAACATAATCCCTCAGGAGTTCCTTTTGGAAAATTAAGGACATATTTACATAATGTACACATATGTGTAATAAAACTAAAGATTTAGTAAAAGGACATTAATGCTCCGGTAATTTGTGTTTTCCTCAAGAACAGATTTAATGACAGGCATTTTTGCGTGTGCAGGAGCAGGAGTACTGTGAGACCATGGAGAAGGATGTCCCTCAGCTGTTCTCAGGTAGCAAGAAGGTCCACCGCAAGTCACGTCAAACACAAACAGGCTCAGTAATGAGACGACATAATCTCCCCAGGAACGCTCCATCCAGTGAGTTCAATCCTGAAGTATATTTGCTACAGAAACAGATGAACACATGCCTCTTTATTTCTACATATATATTCTACAGTATCAGGTACACGAAATGTTTGAATATTTAGGTGGTGCACTTCCTGGCCCTGAACTCAACCCTGCCTGTGAGATGGGATTTTCTTTTGTTTTGGCATGTTTATTTGCTTCTTTTTTTTACAGGCTTTAAAACATCTTTGTTTAAATTCACTACAAACTCGTTGTTATTTTGTTCTTCAGTAAATGTTCGGGAGAATGAACTCCTCCCTGTGCTCCTGAAAGAAATGCCACACCTCCAGATTTCCCCTGAGGCCCTGGGTCGGATGTGGGAGCAGCAGCTGCAGCAGGTGGACAGACTTCACTCCATGTCTTTGTCTCAAAGCCAGAATCACCATAAACTCATCAGTCAGGTTGGATTTGAGGCTTTACCAGTTAAAACAAATATTTATAAATATGCAAAGATTCCTTGGCTGGAAAAATGTCTAAGTCTTGTCTCATCCTGAAGCTGGAGGAAGAACGGAGAAAACATGACTTGCTGGTGGAGATTACCCGCAAAGAGCGAGACCACAACAGACGTTTGGTTAGTAACGGCCCATCAACGTCTTTAGTCTTGTCGTTATTATGGGTTGCAGATCATGTTGCTCAATTAGTCCAAATTTTGAAAGATGAAATACCTGTGAACAAATGACGCTGACAACAGAATGTTCATCTCTCAGAGGGAGTTCAAAGAGCACATCCAGCAACAAAGGTCGTCACAAAATCGACTGAAAGAACAGAGACAGCAGATCGCACGGGCGAAGAAGTACCACAGAGAATACCACGTCCAACACCGCGCTCGTTTGATGAGGGCACGCACTAAGGAGGAGAAGGTGGGTAGTAAGGGCTGCTCTCATTCTGGAAAGGCAGACATTGTTATTATTACGATCGTTTTTTTTATTTTATTTTTTTTTACATGGTATTGTAAAGTAAAATGTTGAAACTATTCTCAGATGTAATTGGAGTAAAGCAACAGTTTATGTTGGTGAACTGTCCCAGCATTTTATTAAAATAAACTATTATAACTCTTGGTGTAATCAGTCTTTAACTGGGAGGCTGCAGCCCCTGGTGGGCTGCACGGGTAGTGCAGTGGTGTTGTGAATCCATCCCATACATTGTAGAAAACGAGTGAATGCAAGGAGAAAATGTTATCGGATAGATGGAACACACTTTTAGCACCATGTATACTATGTCTATTTGTCCCCGGAAGAATCCAGTACTGAAATCACAATCATTTATTAGAGACGATTCATATTTTAATTAAAGAGACAACATAATGAAGGTTGTGTGAATTGCTTCAGATGTTTCAGAACCTGTTCAAGGAAGGATTGGAGATTCAAAAAGCTCGTTTGAGAGAACAGAGGACCTATGCCAAGGAGCAGCAACTGGAGAGTCAGAAACGTCACCAGGATCGCATGACGTCCATGGAGAACTACTACAAAGACCAAGTAGGAGTCACTCTTATATACTGGCTTTACATGAATGTACAGTATATATGAGAGAGAGAGAGAGAGAGATGTATATAACAGGGATCACGTATCATGTATAGGAATGCTTATAGTGACATTTCTTTTCTTTCAGTTTTCACTGTTGGCTGATAGACTTGCACAAGAGCAGCAGGAGATTCAGGTTCGGAAAAAAGCTCAAGAAAAGGTAAACTCAATCCTGCCTTGATTATATTATAAAATGAAATATATTATGTTGCTAAGTTAGTAGAGGTTAGTAGAGGCACAATTACTATTACTATTATTTTTATGATTATAAACTTTAAAAAGCTGTGGTCCTGTTTTCTTTCAGGCACTACAGAAGTTGAAGCGAGAGCTGCGCTCGAGGATGGAGCGTGACATTACTGAACTGCAGAAAGTCATTGTCCGAAATGATGAAGACGACTACTTTGAGGATTTAGAGGTCCAGAGTCTGCGAAATCGGATCAGCAGGGCGTCTTTCAAGACAAGCCCCCGTCCTTGAAGGGTGAACAGGGTTGTTGTTCCTAGTTGGATGCAACAGTGAACAAATACTGTTCATACAACTTAAAGGTATGAGGTACCGAGGGCTGAGCACAGATGTAGAGGAGACACATTGAGGTCTTCTCAATGTCCTGACTGATCATGAATGGAAAAGAAATATGCGACCAAGTGCAACCTTTGACTAACTCTTTCTCACAGCTGCTATGTGTTAACTCCATTGGACCAAGTCACTTTTTTAAATGGTTTTATTATTATTATGACATTCACAGGAATTCAGTAAAATGTTCTTCTTCCTGCCAAACAGGGACCACATTAATGCAAAGTTAGTCATCTGCAAGGTGTTTAACCTCATTTTTATCCTCATGTACGATGTCTTCCTTAATATTTTAACCATGCCAGAAGAGTATTTATTTTTTAACTTTATTGTTGTTGATTGACATGGTTTGTACTTAATGATCAACAAAGTGATGATAATCATGTGAGAAATAACGTCTCTGTTTTGCATGCAGATTTTGAATTGTTTCTTCAGGTTTTTGAAGTGTGAAGTGTTTTTCTGCAAAAAGTGTGATATTCAAAGGTTCAATTCCCTGTCTGTTTGAATAAGTAATCAGGCAGCCAAAATACTAATCACGTAAAAACAGGCAGGAGCATTTTTATAGTACTCTAACACACGTGTTGTTGGCTGCACTTCTTAGTGCACCCTGGGGGTTTCAGTGGTTGGTGAACACACACTACAGTCCTGCCGAATCTGGGAATCAAACCAGCAACTCTAATTACAAGCCCAATCTTTTACTGCTATTTTGAGGACAGTCGGCTACAAACTACAGTGACAGCAGTTTAGTTTTATGGTTGAGATGTAGTTACAGTAGAGTTTTGGTGCGTCAACTAAAGAATTGCTCATAACTACAGTCAATTTTATACACAATCTCATGATTTTGGAAAAATTAAAATAATTCAAAATAAAATCTTAATTTTCCTCCTGTAGTGCTTCGCCTGCTGTTTGTGGGTGTTTCTGTTTGAACTGTGTATTTTGTCTTCAGCTGTTGAAATCCTGAATTGGGTTGAGATCAGGTGGCTGAATTATAATAACAAAAAATAAAACAATTCATTTATGTAGCATCTTTCAAAACACTCAAGTAATGATTGTGCAAATAGCTGTAGATTGTAACCTTCTTTACAAAGATGAGCTTTGAGTATCGACGTAACAAATAGGGTGGATCATAACCATAGACCAGGGGTCGGCAACCTCGACCACTCAAAGAGACATTTGGACTGTTTCGCACAGAAAAAAAACACTGAGAGCTTAGTCAATAAATGTCCAAATGTTCAATTTTTTTATTGTAAATGCAAAATATTCTCTTCAAAATTTCTAGTACTTTAATATTTTTGGATTTGTAATTGGATTTGTAATCCATTTTCCCAGCGTGGATCTGTTAGTTTATAATTGATAATTAACTTAATTGATATTAAGTCGTATAAAAAGTGTCACATTTTTAGAAGGAATATAGACAATGAGGGCTGTGTTAAATTTTTCATAAAACAGTCACACAAAAAATAGATCTAACTTATTTTCCTAACAGCAAATAATGAGGCTTCTTGTGTGTCTAAACTTATAACTTTATCACAGTTGTGTGTTTGCTGCTGTCAAATCAAGGTTATTAACCAACACAAGGTAAATATACAGGAATAAAGACCTTTGGTCCAGATCAATAACAACTCTCATTGGCCTCTGATTGGCTCACAATACCCTCAAAAAAAGCCTGACCTAGTCCTTATATGCTGGCTCTATTCTGGGTACTTGATGTAAAAGATTTCACCAGCTTCAACAGGATGGCTCGAATTGTGGCTTTGTTTCTCCTGTGCCAAATACTTTCACCCACAACTGTTACATCTAAGAAAGGTAAAAATACCACATGTGAATGATTATTATTGATATTATGTTTGAATAGGTTTGAATGTTTTCATGTTACTGAACTTTGCCATCGTAGACTGATTAGACATATGATTTTTTTTTGCTGCGGAATAAATGTCATACATTTCAGTCACTTCCTGAAAGAAACTGCATCATGATTTCTTATAGTCTTTCTGTTAACTTTTGGCCATCCTATATGTGCTGCTATTTTGGAGTTCTTTTAATTTATATTAGCCATTTCTTATTAATACTATTAATAAGAAATGGTCTAATGCGTATACAGAGGGGGGCGGGAGGAGTATTCTGATTTCCTCTCACATACATGATTGTAGATCAGATTCATGGTTCTCTCACTGGTGTAGATGTTGTTTGTCACCGTGCACAGACTAACCAGTCTAGACTGGAATAGTGATATTTCCTTATTACATTCATCAAAATACAGAACATTTACACAACCTTTTAAATCAAACATGACACAACAGTTTTGCTAACGGGTAAGTCTTTTACCCTAAACATTTTTTTTTTTTTTTTTTTTTTTTAGTATGTGGCCGTCCACCGGTCACTGATGGGATTGAAGAGTCAGCCATAAAACGAGTTTATGAGGTTGGAGAAACAGTGACCCTTACATGTGGGCAGGGTTACAACCCATCAACGTCACATGCGACACAACGCGTGACCTGCACTGGCACAGGGGAATGGACCCAGTCAAATTTGGCTTGTTCTCGTGAGTTTAAACCTGGCTGTTTAACATATTCATTTTCATCCACACTGTACAAAAGAAAATAGTTCTAATTATTCCTTTACAAAAATGTAATTGCAATATATTGAAGAATATTATGTTATATAAAAATATGGCTCCACTCCAGCAGTTTATTGATTGATTGATTGATTCAGTGTTGTTTGTCTTTTTCTGTTTCATTTTTCTTCAGCTAAAATGTGTCCGATTCCCCGACCATTGCAGCCTTTAGCAATGGGCAAGACAGAGGCTCCTTTCAAGACCGTACTTAACTACACATGTGACAGTGGGTAAGACTGAATGCCATTAAGAGTCACTTT